AGGACCTCATAGCCGCGGACTACCAAATTGGGGGTTCTGGTCGTCCACATAAACATCCAGCGTTTCGGGAAGGCAGCTCGTGTGGAGGTCGCACGCTGCTGTACCGATCCCACGGTAGGGATGGAGAAGGCAACAAGCCCAGGAGGAGCCCGAAAGGGCGACGTGCATGGGAAGCACCGGTTGTATCCCGTAGGAGATCCCGTTGCTTCCCAATATGAACAGAGGAAGGTCGCCGAGAAGGTTTTAGTAGTAAAAATCCCACTGTAGGTGAGGTTTAACCCTGTAGTACTGGATGTAAGAACAGGGCTACGGTATCACCTGCCTGTCGTACAAGGAGGCTAAAAGGTGACCTCGAGGTCCTCCGGGAAGGCAGACAGAGTGTGGTGGTTGCACTACGCCGTGCCGAGCTTGGCAGGGACGGAAAGGACAAAGAACCCGAGAGGAGTCTAACAAGGCGAAGTGTGTAAGGGGCACCGGTGACGGTCAGAGATCCCAGAGCCTCTGAACATGCAGGGTTTTAGTGGGTAAAAATTTCACATAACCGTTTCCCCCCAAATACCCGGGTAACTTTCGAAGATTTCCCCGTCAATAAAAAAAACTACTAATACACTACTAAATTGACAAGGTGATTTTATTTCTATGATTTTTATAGGTACTTAAATTTAAACGTATACGTACAACGATATCTATGTACCAACGTACTAGATGCGGCGTTCTGTACACACACTGTTTTACTGATGTGCGGTTTGGGTACACTACATTCAGTTGGTTGTCATATATTCAAGACGGCAGACGCCGATGGGGTACTCTTTGAAAATTTATTAACATCGGTGTATTGCTCACATTTCGCTAATTGAAAAAGAAAGAAATTTAAAGTTTTAAATTATTCACATTGCTTCGGTAAGTTATGTTGTGGTTTTTTTGTATTAATTTGTATATTCTAATATTTGATAATCGCGAAATACTAAACAAAATTTCACACTATCAACCCAACAGGTATAGACTGTCGCGTCTGTCCACGGTACTACGATACTGATATTCTTTGACAAAATTCAACACAAAAACAAAACTCTATAATATTGATGGGTACATTATTTTGTTTGGACCATATCGTTTCTGTAAATGTTCTTGTCTACAGATTGAAGTATTCATATACATGTAAATCATGGTAAGTCGTTACGAGACGACGAAGTTTAAATTGAACGTCGTCAACATAAAGATAATAAAACAAAGTGAAGGTAAATGTAATAAAAATGATAAAGATAGAGAGGCTTTAACCGACAATATACTTATACCCGATACATGTTTCGCCTCTCTATAAGATATCCTCAAGGGATGTTGATTGTTTGAATCTTGGCCGAATAATGAGCTCGCTCTTTTTTGCTCACGCTACTGGATAAAAGAGTGACGTAAAGGCTTTCAGGCTACAAACTGGACGACAGCAAGCGGCGGTGCGGTGGCGACAGCGATGCGCGCAACAGCTTGCGCGACTTGATTAAAACGCCTAAGTTTGCAGCTTCGCGGCTTCCTAACGGCCTGCATTTCAAACGCGCAGATCCGAACCGGCGAGCTCGCGCCACAGGCAAGCCCGGGCGGCCTCGGACCGACGCGCGTGGCAGCGCGTATTCGTATATGTATCGAGGGCTTTGACTGTGCGCGTTCTCGCACCTTTGAAGTTACCAACCCGCGTCGGATACGAACAGTTATAAGGTTTAGCCGTTATGAAGCCGCCTTTGTGCTGATCCTGACGGTAATGACACAATCGGCAGTACACGAGTGTCGCGCTCCAGTCGAGCGATGAATGCGCGTTCGAATAGTTATAGTGTCTTGTTGCTTTATCCAACATACGTATTTTTCGATCAATCAAGTTTGGAGATGCCGTAGGAGGTAATAATTTCAACAGTTTTAAGGCCTTCTTCAAAGGCATAACGGGCGAGCTCCCGCCTCGAGCGAGTCCGGGCGGCCTCGAGCCGACGCGCGTGGTGGCGCGTATTCGGGTGTGTGTCATGTGACACACGGCGGATCCAAAAACAGGCGACCACGGGTAAGCTCGCGCGGGGCCGCCTCTGGAAAAACGGGCCGTGTGAAGCCGCCTTTAGAAAAACCATGAATATGGAATAGCACACATATCGATAAAAAAAATAGAAGTCTTGTTAATCAATACCTACATAGAGAACAATAGAGATACTATTCGTTCATAATTAAAATATGATTCCTATTTAGGCTTGATATTTGCAAGAAAATACATTTCCACAGTCATTTTAGCGTAATCATAATAATAATAATAATAATAATAACGCACACACTCATAGCCCCGCACTAGGGAAACCCTGTGTCGCGGATGCCATGGACACACATATAGACAACCACAAATTACACCCAAACTCACGAGAGAAATAATTGTAGGCCATACAAATATTTCTCCCGACCCGGGAATCGAACCTGGGACCTCTGCGTGGCAGTCCGGCATGGTAACCGTTCGGCCACGGAGGCAGTTAATCATAGAACTTATCCGGATTTTGTTTTTGATCCTCGTAATTGTTTGTAGTACACAATCACGTCTTCTTTTCCCCATAATAAGTCATCGACATCGCGCTCACAGTCTCGTTACAAAATTCTCGTCTCTGGCGTACAAAACAGGCCACTTTTACAGTACCGCAGCCCGCATCGCTGTCGCCACCGCGCCGCCGCGCTGTCCGCTGTCGTCTGGTTTGTGGCCTTAAAGAACGGTTGGTCATATTTATATTCCACTACCCTTTACCCACTTACCATTGTTAAAAGAAGAAAATACTCGCAATAACAGTGATGATGACGCAACATTCAGCGGGCGCCCGCTGCCGTACCGAGTGATCGGACTGCCAGGGCTTTGGCGCGCAGTTTCCGTCGAATCACCGCCGCGGAATCTCATGATTAAGGACCACGAATTGGTTTGAAACATGCCGAGCAAAAATTCGACCTAAATACGAGAGTTATCCGTTATTTTTTAGTTAATATGTCTGAATCTCACGGCGGTTTTCTATTTAAAAATGGTAATTGATTATTATGATTATACGTCCCTTATAGTATCTAATTGTTTCTGCCTGTTCTAAAATATGGTGTCAACGAATAAAACTCAATAAAATAGAAAATATACATTTATGTGATCTACTTAATTACTATTTTTAAGTAAACGTTGAGAAATCGAAAATAACGCACACAATACCATGACAAATAAAACTATAATCTTTTGCACAAAAAGATTAATTTTTCATGCATGATAGAATGTAACATTGCGTATAATTTTCACTGGACTTGTATCTAACAGTCTTGTTCCATCTTATATAAATTGATCACAAAACGTATTTATCTACACACATGTCATAAACTCTCTATATTGTGTTCAAAAACCCCAAATTACGACCTGCATAACGATAAATGGTTTTGTTAGAACAAATTTCTGTGAAAATATTATTATTGCTTCCTATTACCATCGAATTCGATGTTATTATTACATTCAAATTTTGAACATCTCTGAAAAACAAAACAATTTGATTGGTCCTCAATTCTAATATCAGTCGAAATGAAGTTTTATTCGAAATGAAATGTCAATAGCAAACAATTTTGACAATTTCACACGTTACTTGATATCGAACGATATGACCGATTCTAGTTTGTCTATGAATTAAAAATAAAAGCTACGGTTGTGTGACATGCGTGAGAAAAGTTTTTAATTGCCGCCATTTCGCCAGTCCTGAACACATCACAGTGAGCTTATAATATGTGTGTAGATAAAGCAGTGTATGTAACTGTACATAATTAAGCATTAAAACATTACTAGTGAGATGTTTTTATGTCAACCCTCTCTCGTCTTTTAATGCCTTTCATTATGTAACATTTACATAAACTACTATTAGATAATAATATAATGTTATGGAATTCTCATTTTGTCGAAGTTCATGTGTTCGAACGTCCATTATGTCAACTGTGCATTAAATAATATTTTTTAAACAATATATGCGTGCTTGTTATTATTGTACTTAACCTTCACTGTGCGTAATCTATGTTTAAATTAACAAAATTAAACAATCCACTGATTATTTTTAAAACCCTGAATAACTTTATTTATTATAGTCGTATGTAATGATAAATATGATACCTATGATACGTAAGTTGATTTAAAAAAAATATATATATATAATAATAATATGCCTTTCGTTGTATTCTTCTAATGGTAGAATAAAATACTTACTAACCTTACGCACAAACCAATGTTCGCAAAGTCATACACTCTGATGATCGATCGTTCCAACACAATTCAGTAAATTGAATGATAGAGAAGTTGACCGTTAGATCAAAGCTGGGGCCATACCATCAACTCTTATTACAGTTCAGTATAGGTTTGTAACGACAAGCGGTATGGCGATATACACTTCACGTAGCGCTGTCTCACAACGACTCATTTTAGGCCCTAAACTGAATGTTAATAAGAGTTCATGGTAAGGCCCCTGTCGTTGTTTTAAAAATTTACATTTGTTCTGATTTATTCAGTTTTCTTATCTGAATTTAAAAGCAAAAAACGCTACAATATCGCCTGCAAACGAATTGCGAAAATATAAAAGTATTTTCTATTCTTACTGACTTAGCACGTATAGACATAGCGTCGGGTAAATTCGAAATCCTCGTAACTCTGATTCTGACCAAAATAATGTTTTTAATCTTCAAGCGCAAAATCGGGCAATTAAGGTTTAAAATATAATTTCAAACTCCTTTTTTAGTAGGAAAATAAAGATATATCATTGATTATTGTCTATTTCTAATAGTTCTATTTCATTGTGCTCACTCACAAGTTCATATTAAAGGAGGTTTACACATATAACCAACGATAGGTATCTCTAGAACAATTTACCCTCATATTGACTTTGCCGTGGTTCTTTCAAACGAACATATTGAAGTAAGTTTTTTTTAAACATATTGTCACTATTTATTTTTGGCTGTACTGTGTTTGGTCTATAGTGAAAATATTATTCACGGAGTATTCCACCATTTTCGCACTAATAAACCATCTATCTGTTAGACGATCGATGCAATGAACCAACTTTTGAACATATGAATTTCGACGAAATGAACATTCGATAAATTGAATTATGGATACTCCTTCCATAGCAAATCCATTAGACTGAATGAATCTAGACTGTGGAAACATGAAAGGCCTTGTTCTAGTAACCGACATACTAGAAGCAATTTTTTTTTTTTGGCTGAATCGCAACTGGCGGCGGTCAATTTTTTTTAAGGATTGGGATGATAAGGACCCCCCTTCCTTAGTCATTTAAGACTTTCGCTGTTGTTGTTGTTGTTTATGCAGTTTCTTTTCCGACGGCAAAAACAAAGACATCAAGACACCACCTGTAAACAAATGATAAAATTAACAAAAAATATTTTCGTGAAGCTGCTTAACATACATTAACCTCGTTATGACTCAGTAGTGGTTGAGTAAAAAATATGTGAATATTAATTTGTTTCTTGAATATTAATTTGTTTCTTTACACACTTTCCTCCAAGTATTTTAGGACAAATTTTAACACAATTTTTATTAATACAAAGATCGAACACTAAGAAAAATTCCTTCGACCCGACTGGATTCGAACCAGCGCCTACAAACACACCGTACCATATTATAATAAACTAGTGGAGTAATTTCACAAAGAAACGTAATTGACCAAACACTTTTAAGTGTTTGTTGTACTATCTGATGCTTTTTAGATGCGTATCTGGTAGTAAGTTCAACCCTGCAAGCGTCGTCCCCACGGCAGAAAAAAAACAATATAACTAAGTGCCCTATGTCTCGATTACTATGAGAACCGATTTCGCCAAAACTCACATATTGTTAATTTGAAACATTACAAAATCTTGATATTGATTGATCGTAGTGTCAAAGTTAAAAAGAAAAACAAATTCTGGATTGTTAATATAATTTAAACTTTACTCTGTTGGCATATCGTCGAAAGTTCAATATCATCAATACTTATTATTACAAGTTACGACGTTTTGATATTATATTGAAATTTCAATCAATGTGCTGCCATCTAGAGGTTTATTGCTGAACGACGACGAATTGGAGTTATTAATTTAGTTATCCAAACAAGAAGCGACCACATTGCAGGGATATATATAAGCTTACTTTCGTTTCTCGTAACAAAAAAAAATGTTTCTATAAACAGAAAATTGAAATTTTATTAAAATAAGTGCAGTTACCATTTTTCCACTCCAATACAGCACAATAAGGCATTTTCTAGAATTTGAGATAATTTGCACGAAAGAACGACACAACCATACCAAACAATATGAAAATGCCAGGTCTTCCGAGACCTATAGTTGGCACGCGTCAAACGCTAACTAACCACTTCTACTGGTTTTATTATTCTGTAGTCCTCCCCGACGATCCCTGCGACCCCGCACTCCAGCGTTTTGCACAGAGTAAAATATGATAAATTATTAAAAGTTGTTGTTTATGATATGGTTGTCAGTTTTTTTTACAAATAACCCTGTATGTTGCGTGAACTTACTGGAAACATAAAGAGCACAGACGTAGAAGGTAACTATGCAGTGTTCTACGATGACTATGCCCATTAAATTCACGCCGCCCAGTGATACGATCCTCGTGAACAGCATGCTCAGACTGGTAGCTAGAGCCCTGAGGAAGAATATATTATGTATTGATGAACGGGGTTAGTCTATATGATTATAAATTTTCTCAAATATGTTCGGAAATATTTGCATTAATTTTTCAAAAACGAACACGGAAAGTTTGTCATCTATGGACCGTACGATTTCTTCCCGGCCAAGGCCTGTGAAGTAAGTATCAAAATCCATTACTGTCCTCTTCTCTAAACTTTTAAATTTGCCTACCTACTAATAATTAACCATGTAAATAGGCAAAATCAAAGCTCATACAAGCAACTGATCAATGTTCATAATTGCGAGAATTAAACATACCTACGTGTACCGCTTACTTAAGAAAAAAGAAAATGGCGGTAACATTTAAACTGAAGTGTTTTGGTATTCTTTCGCTTTTCGTCTTTTTTGTATTTTGGGCGCAAAAAGAGTGCTAGTGAGAAGAGCGATTACGAAAATACAGTAATAGGTACACATTCAAACACATCATCATAAGTTCAGCAGACTACCAACGGATGTGTTGTCTAGACTACCAACGTATGTGTACTAAATCGGAAAAACAACATTTTCTTTTAGGCAATTGTCCTATCACGTCAAATATTACTTTTCATATTAATTATTATTTGTTTACTTTTTCTATAATACATATTCCTCTCTTTAGTCTTTTATTATTTCCTCACATTGTTTGAGAAAAAATCTATATATACCTCGGCGGGAACGGGGATTGCTTGACTCACTAGCGTTCGTCCTTGTAACTCACACTCGTCCAGCAATCCCTCACTTCCCGGCCTCTGCAATAATGTACTATTACGTTAAGGCGAATCACTAGAGGAGAAGCGGGGAAAATTGGCTGGTAGTTGTAAAGGTATCTAACTGGGTGACGAAATATCATAGATTTCTCATAGATGGCACTACGGCTAGAAAATCGTTGAAAAACCAAATACAAACATACGACGCAAGCACATAGAAAAATTCGTGAGGTCCGCTGGTTCGTTCCGTGGCTTGGTTAGTATAGCGTCTGCTACGGTATGCTAGAAGACGTCGGATCGAAGGAATTTTTTCTGAGTGTTCGATCTTTTATCGTTCGATAATTTTACATAAAAAATTATTGAATATCAATTCAATAAAATTTTAATAAAGTATCTAACTTTGCACATAATTTTTGTATGGAGATATTTCTCTTTAAGTATTACAGAGAACCTGCTAAAAGACGCGAGCCACCACACACACACCTCACCTCCTAAAATCTAGGCTTATGGCTTAGGCGGATGGCTTAAGCCCTCTCCTTAGATTCCACTAAATCATACTCACCAGCCAATTTGTTAAGGCGTTTACAACACCGACAAAATCTAAATGTCTAACACATTGTCATGATTGGAAATGAAACTACGGTTGACACGCCCCCCATGATCTTCACTCGCTTATAAAGAGTCCGGAACGTTGTCTTTAAAAAAAAATGCTATTTACAGCCAAAAACATTGACTTACAAATAAATGGACGACGGGTCTAATACAAAAACCACGAAAAAAAATGTCCCAAGTCAACCTATTCGAAATTTAAATTGTAATGTCATCGCAGTATCGCGCCGTCAGTCGAACAAATGAAGACTAAAGCGGAGTTTGGCGCTCTGTATACGATTTTAGCGCCTTACAAGTGCGGACACTTTTTAGCGCGGACCCGACGTCCATATAATTGTAAGTCAATGGCCAAAAAAGAAAATAAGTTTACATTGTCACTATACTGGTAAACATAAAAAAAAGGAGACTGAAAATTATCACTTTTAAAACCTGTTTATCGAAAGTTGCATATACCTATTTACCAGCCACCGAACTTACTAAGATCATCGCTCAAACAAAAATTGTTTCGATTACACAACATTTCAAAAGTTGTAAAAAATCACCAAATTTCCTATGTTATGTAATGTAAATATTATCATTTATTTGAAGTTCAAGAAATATAATACAACTTACCGATGAGTTGTAGGATATATGTCCACAAAATAAGAAGCGACAAGTCCAATACAAATTGCTGTGTCCTGAATAAAAGTAAATACAATCATATTCATGACAGGCTGTCTCAAAATATTGGTCAGAAGTAGGCAGATGGCAGCAGATGCAAAAATCCCGATGAGAAGGAATTGTCTCCAACGCGCTAGGGTAGCTATGATCAATCCCAGGACACCGAATGTGATACCGAGAAGTATACCCGCGAATATGGTGTTCGTTGAAATTGTATCGTCGCAGATAAACTGTAAAAAAAACATATCTTTCGGTTTATTTCTATGGCGTAGCCTAAAGCATATCACTGAGTCCAAGCTTGGCCTACAATCTTCTACCAAAAACATTTGTTGCACCTTCTACATCTAGACTAATATAATACAAACTGCATAAGAAAAAATCAACACATATTTCAAAAAATATTTTATCACCCAGATTTGTGGATGTGGTGTCGCTATTATTATGTCATATTACTTACACCTTCGGAGTCTGTGGGACCAGTCAAATTGGCGACAACTCTATCACAAAAACTCTTGTCTTCCAATCCGGGGGTTTCGAATGATTTGAAAAATTGGTTCGCAATCACTGGATACCACATCAGAAATAGATTGTTGCTGCGTAGAAAAATAATCTTATGAGACAGTTCTTATTACTTGGTGGAAGTTAATAACGTTAATGGTTCTGTGTTCTGTGTCAACAATAGAAACTTGGGGGACGAAATTGAATTTAAAATATCTGAATGTATTATTTAACTGAAACCTGGCTTAGTTAGGCCCGGCGCCCACTGACAATAAGGTTCAGCAGACTGTTTTTAGGTAATATACCTTAGAGTTATGGCATTACACTTGAAATTTTAATGATAATGGTCGTAGCTACAAAACCAAAGCTGCGGCTTGATCAGCCGCCGCCTCCGGAATACTCAGACAGCCTTGGGGATGCTTCGGCAGCCTTTGAGGTGTTTCGGCATGCTTCGGGACGCCCGAGTGCGACCATGCGGGGATGAGGGCCGCGGGGAGGCAGAGACCTGAAGAAAGGCCAGGCGCGAGCACGATGTCGCGGCATGTTTAAGGACACCGCGACATAATTCCCGTCAGTGTGCGCTTGCATATAGGGATGCCGAAGGATCCCCTGCCGAGCTGTCGGGCATTAGTGTGCGCAAGGGACAGCTAAAAATATTATTAATTTTTAGATTTTTAGCTGTGTAACTGATTTGTTTGTTGACCAAACACAATAATACAAGTTATTAAATAAACTAGAAACGTAATAGTATAGGTTTAACTCTCTTTGATATAGTCGATCGAAGTCTGATACTCTAGATAATGTACGCCTATATCAGAGCAGGATAAATTGAGTTTTATTTTTACTTGCTACAACTAAGAGCCATGAGATAGAACAGCTGCAGCGTCCTCCAAAGAAGTGGGGGCTTGAACAAAGGCACAGTCTGCTTTACTAAGGACTCCCAAAAAGAGATTTCCGACGTCGCTTCCACGTTGTCGTCGATTAACATTTTGACCTGAAAACAAATTCACGTCACCCCAGGGCCAAGAGAATATTTATCTCATAAACGTACAAATTAAAGTTTGCGTCACCGAGCCACCCGATCCCAGAGAACCGGGTAGGTCTACCCTCTGGAGTCAGTTTCAGGAACTGGTAGTTAAACGGAGAAATGGTTGTTATAACCATAATTTTAATACAAAAAACGTAAACTTAAACATATCCTATAAATATTTCTTTCTTTTAAAAAAAATTCAGAACGGGATAAAATGTACCCATACCGACCGGTTCCCAAGGCAGAACCGTCTAGAGAATACATTCTCGATTGGTTCAAAGATAAAAGACAACAAGGTGAGAATGTGGAAAACCAATAAATAATTCGAACTTAAGTAGCAAGAACTTTGTGGTTTAAATTTTGGACATAACTTCCAAAGTAATCTGTGACATGAAAATTATGAAGAAGAAATAAAAATATTGACTTACATACATACACTTACATACATATCACTTACATTTTAATAGTAAATTTACTTAACCATACCGGATAGTCTACTTCATTTCCTCCATTAGCTTTATACATGGCCCGCAGTACTTTAAGGGCCTTCTCAGCCTCTCCTCGACTGGCCAGAAACTTTGGACTCTCGTGTAACAGCAGCAGCATTAAGGCCCCCAGTCCAAGAGGTATTGCGAGAATAAAGGTGTACAATCGCCACGAACGATAGGTAATCGAGAGGAAAGGTATTTCTATCCTGAAGCTCAGAGGTAGAATGAAGTACGCTATCACTGAAATAGAAATAAGTGATTGAAATCCAAAACTTCGAGTGTACGATTTTGTTTTAGTTATTAATAATATTAAAGTATTTATTTCAGAATCTTGTCCATAGTTTGAAACACGAGTGGCGGCAATCAGCTAAGGGAAAAGGTAATCACCGCCTGTTTCTGAAGTTGCAAAACCACTGAGGCAGATGGACCGGTACGACGAAGACGGCTTCACAAAAGGGGAGAAGAAGAAGAGGAAGCCCACTAGCCGTAACCAGTTTACCTACCTGTCGCGACTGCATTACTCCACGAAGTTTGAGGAGATAGTGGTGTACATTTATATATCGGCGATTCCGCGGCCGGTTATCTGACACCAGATTGCGCCACACGTCGCCAACAATGACAATTAGTTACAAATAGTGTCTTATTATATTGCATGTATATATTAATCCTTAAGTTATATATTATATGGGTCATGTGGCCTGAACGAAATAAATAAAATAAAATAAAAATAGTTTTAGTAACAAATTCTCTTAGGACCAGTGTTAGTAAAGTTGAGTATAAAATAAACATTAATTAAAAAAATAAAAAATGTCCTGGCGTGATGTAGCACCCATCGCTTTAACATTGGAGAGTTCCACCGGCCTATGAACACTCAGGAGTTGGTGTTATCGTACTCATTATAGCATAGAAATCATCCATTAAGAGCTGCAACGCCACGATAGCCCCAACAGAACCCTGAATTTGTTGTTATACTGACCCAGCAATCACATGCACTCGCTACAAAATCAACCCAAAGTTTACAGATGTAGTATGATTGGCAGTATGCTTTGAAAAGCGAAATTTTAACTGGTTTTGTACACCTTGCAAATTTTCGGGCCAGCGGCGGACAGCCAGCGACCTGCGTCCCCTCTCTTTGTCTAGGTTGTCCTATAAATCCTCAGTCTACCAGTGACCCAAGTATTTTATTTTATTTATTTATTTATTTTAGCCATCCGATACAAAGGTGAAACATTGAATGAAATTTCCAAAACAGAATAATTAAACGATTAAATACTGTAGACAATTTACTTGCGTGGCAACTCCAAAATTTTAGATACTTAAAACTTCACGCGTATCGTGTTTGTCTTAAGGTTAGATTCTCTGATTTCCCTGAATAACATAAGGCCTTTGAGTTGGTTGGTGATGACCTATAAAATCTTTGTTATTTATTCCTAATATGTAAAATACTTACGATAGAACACACACTCAGAGCTGAGATTGGCGGCAGACATATACATGAAGTAACGGTTTCTCACAGAGCTTATAGTGCACTCGCCTAGGTATGTCATCGTCAAGGTCATAGAAGCCGTTGAACTACAAACAATTAAAACACTTCACGGTTAGCGTTTGTGCTAATGCAAAAAGGGGCAAACTTGAGGCAGTAAAAATAATTTTGGAATGAACAGAGATTGTTTTGGACCTCCATCCATCTCACTCGACGATAAGTGACAGTGAGGTCGACGATGAGGCAATGCCCATTCAGTCAGCCTTGTAAAGGCCTAAGTTATAACGTTCAGGGAAGAAGTCTACGAGCAGGGAATTCGACTCCATAGCGTTTCGCCATATAAATGAAGAATATATATGTATTCCTTGGAATATCTCCAACATAGGGGTGGAACCCTAGCCTGCGTCTAGCGTCAGTTGGCGGCGGGTCAAGCAAGTGTATGTAATATTATTATAGTGTAGCATAACATATTTATGATTTCAATTGAATGCATTGTACGTAATAAATAGAGCTAGAAATGTATAACTGACAGAGATATTAGATGATAAGATAACATGGACCGTGTTTGGAAAAGGGAACTCAATGAAAAAGAGATTGTGGATAAAACAAAAATTAACCAATAAAGGTCAGATAAGACTGATGTGGTTTAGATCGAACCTGACCACGATCCCAAATGTTAGTGTTGATAATTTTAAACCTCGTCAAGCGCCTAATGAAAAATTCTTTAAATCATCGGCTGTCGATGGGACATGCCAAGAACCGGAAACATTGACTGGATATTTAACCCCATTGATTTGTTTGAAAAACCAAATATATGTATATAAACATATATAATATAGCCACGTCGTCATTAAATAGTTTCATTTCGAAACTATTTAATGACGACGTGGCTATTCCTTCTGTGACCATCCACAGTTACATAAACTCTCTTAACTAGTGACATTTAAATTAATTGTGTGTAGTAAACAAGTAAAATGTATCTGTTTCTGATATACAATTTTTCTTTTGAAAAATCGTTGTTTAAAAAATCATTTGTCCTTATATTTCATCAAAATGCAAAGTATATTTGTAATGAACTTACAAGAAGCAGCCGAACAATTTAAGCACCAACAAGACCTGCCAGTTGGGAGACAAACTGCTGAGAGCCGCCATGAGGAATCCCACAGACGCGGAGAGCAGGAGGGCCCGTAGACGTCCTCGGGTGTCCGCATAATAACCCCATGGAAAAGCGCAGAAGACGCCTATAACAACATTTAGACTGGTCGTAAAGATACTAAGGTACGAGCTTTTATTACGTAATGGAATTATCTAACTTCTGACTAGTAACTAATATACAGAGCAGGGTTGTTGCGAACATCAGCACCCGTATCCGCGGATAAACCGCTTTAATTAAAATATCAGCATCAGCCTTCGCACTGATTGATGCTGATATTCATTACGGATTTTCACGTCTTGACATTAATTTACAAATCATCCAGAACCACGCTGTAAGCCCAAAAATTAGCTCAACCGTCGTTCTAACCTTTGAGAAAAATTCGGAATGATTAAGCAAAAAAGGTGAGGGGGCTCCGTTCGCCAGTAAGTTTGGCAACCGCGAGGAGCACGACGGGGCGGTGTAACTGACTTCAATGTAAGCAGGGAAGGGGGAGGACGTAGCTCCTCCTAGGTGCTGGGAGGTTCCGGTGCGCAAAGTCGATCCCGGATCCCTCACACTAGAGCACCCGAGAAGGCCACTGTGGGGTTTTAGCCGGTAGAACTCCGGCTAACTTCATAACTTCTCCCGCGCGGCGGAGAGGTATCCCAGGAGAATTTTCCCACGACAAAAAAAGAAGGCAGGCTTACCTAAGCGCAGGCCATACCGCGAACGAAGCTAAGTTAACTTAGCTTAGCTCACGTAGTCGGGGCATCTATTAAAACTCCGGTTCACACCGCGAACTAAGCTAAAAGTTAGTTTACCTTCGTTCGCGGTGTGGCCTGGGCTTAACTGATTTTGCTCGGATGTCACAAAATCATTAAAAAAGTTTTTTCATTATTATCAGTTTCCATAAAGATCTGTACAATTGTCACAATTTTTTTTAAATAGATAAAATCAGACTCATTGACCTTTGGTAGGTTAAAAAACCTACGTTGGCAACCCTAGTGAAAAAAAATGAAGTGAAACTGGAATGTAATCACAGAGCACTTTATTATAGATTTATAAAAGTAGAACAAGACAAAGAACAGTACAGACCTGCGAAGGGCACTGACGCGAGCACGCCAACTTGAGTCAGTGCAAGCTCCAGATCGCAGGCCCCAGAAGCCACAACCACGCTGAACCCGAACATGTCCAGTGAAACGCCTACAGACAGCACGCTACATGCTATCAGCACCAGGTGGTTGTACCAGCCATGTCCTGTAAACGTATTAACATTCAAGTTTTCGTATTATAAACCCAATGTAATCAATAGATGGCATCATCATTTCAGCCAAAAGACGTCCACTGCTGTACATAGGTCTCCTCCAAAGAATGCCATCCAGCGGATTCCCGTAGCCTTTACCAGATCGTCAGTCCACCTTGTGGGTGGTCTCCCTACGGTGCGTCTTCCGGTACGCGGTCACCACTCGAGAACTGTACGGCCCCATCGGCTATCTGTTCTGCGAGCAATGTGCCCTGCCCACTGCCACTTAAGTTTTGCAATTCTTTGGGCTGTCGGTTTCTCTGGCTCCCTTGCGGATGTCCTCATTACTGATTCGATATCGATAGCCCTTTCCATTGCCTTGTGTGAGTGACCTTCAGCCTTCTTATGAGGCCCATAGCGAGCGTCCACTTCTGAGTGCCGTAAGTCATCACTGGCAATACACACTAGTCCAAGACTTTGTGGCATTTTGAACGAGAAGCTATATCGTAATCAATAGACATATAGTAAAATCATAAAGAAGCCTATATAAATATTTTAAAATTTATCAATGCTACCTACTGAAGACACGCACGCTAATATCTACAATGGCTGAATCAAATTGAATTGGTTTTGAGTGACGTATAAAAATAAATTTGGATTAATATTTAGGGTTTCATTCATTTCTATGTAGCGATTTTTTGGGGTTGGCCTATATCCAGCAGTGGACGTCTTTTTGGCCTATGTCCTGCAGTGGACGTCTTTTTGGCCTATGTCCTGCAGTGGACGTCTTT